GATAAATATACTGCTTTTTGTTAGTTGTGATTTAGTTATATGCGTTAAACATAATTAAAAAAAAACTCATGTTGCATTACCTGTAACATCCATCACAGAACTATTTTTGCTGTATCTGAGCAACTGTGCCACGAATCAGAATCGATACTATATTACAACATTGAATAGCCCGATACTCAGGTGTTTTGATATTTTCTTAAACCCGTTGGAATTAACGGTTCAGGGCTGTTGTCAGTCATGACCCTTTTTTTAAATGCCTCTATTTCATCTTTTATAAGCACTGTGCTCTTCGCAGCGCTCTGGCACTTTAATGATGGCGAGCCTGCAGCTGCTCGCCAGAGGAATGTGATGTCTCTGCGTGGGCGCTGCGCAGTCACACCAAATGAAAACAGTAGCACTTTAGATTAAATTAAACTAAAGAGAGACACATTGGGTGTCCAAATTGCTTTGGGTCTGGGATATTGTTGCTTATTGTAGAAAAAGGTTAAGTGGAATCAAGCAAAGACGAGTTTGTATCTGGTGGGTCTGTCCACCACTTTGGTCCACACGCGACATTAACAGTAATAGTTCCCAGGTGACCAGCGCCAATGTGTTGTTTGATGCTGTGGATGCTTTATCTATTTTTCAATTATATAAAATAGATAAAGACAAAGAGGGAGGCCCATCATCGGCTTCCTTACACCCCTCCTCCCCTTTGGGCAGCCGGCCTCAGCTGGTTTGCTGTCGGAGTCAGAGACAGATGGTGGTCGAAGTGTGAGAAGCGAGCCCACTTCCCGCTAATTTGTTTGTCAGCGCGAGGCACTCTGCCTTGTTGCCTGTGTGACTCGGTGTGACTTCTCCTTCACCGGGGTGGCGCTAGGACTTCGGTGCGGCGCTCGCGGCGCTGTGTCCGAGGAGCGCGGCTGCAACAACGGCTGCATTGATCAGATATTGCCGCTCGATTTGTGCAGAGAGGGCCATGTTGATTCACAGCATTGTTGCCCTGCCTTATTTAATTACACTAGGGGAAAATTTATCTAAAAAAATGTCTCATGCGTCTCATTTAGAAGAGACATCCACCTCTTTCAATTACGTTGGTGTGCTTGAGATTAAACCAGGTTTTCTTAAGAAGAGGGACATGTTGCTGCAGTGAGAGACAGTGAGAGAGCTGCTCTCACCACTCAGCAAGACTTTCCCCCTGAGCTGCAGCGTGATGGACACATTCAGGGACAAGGAGGAGACTCTTTTTTTTCTAGTTTTGATCTGTTTTCCTGTTTCCAGTTAGTCAGAGTTCTATAAATGCAGCGGCATGTATCAAAATCGGGATTTTGAACAGGATTTAGTGCAGTCTGTAATGAGACGGGTCCTCGGTGTAGGAGGGTCCCCTTCTGGGAACCTCCCCCAAGAGACTGCAGCCCAATCACAGCTCGCTTCCTCGTAGGTCGGCCTGGCAATCCAAAGTTGAGTGATTTTTCACTGACGAGGTTAATCCACATGCCCCGGCCACTTAGTGTCAGCGAGGGAGCCACTTCATTAAACACTGCGGCTGAGCTAACGTGCAATTGTCGACAAAAAAGATGAGAACAAAAAAACTCTCCCCAAATTGTACCGTTTCTGTCATTCTTCGTTTCTCAAAAGGATGTTGAATTAATTGTTATCAATGTAATTTTATTAACCATAAAATGTAAACATTTGTAATCCTGTGGGGGTCACGGGTCACATCTCAACAACAGATACGAGTAATTACTTCTTTTTCCGGCATAATGATGCATTATTGAGACATATGAGGGAAATAACCAAGCAAACCGTTTCTATTTTGTGTCTTTATCTGCTCATTTCACATTGCAGGAGCTGCGACTGAGGTGAAAAGGCAGAGCTGAGCAATGAAACGCTTCCTTTGGAAATAAAAAAATCTAAGATAAGAGTTATTCGCTTTCCTCGGCTGCTGCTGCTGCCGATGTTGTCGACGCTGCTTCTGTTTCTGAAACAGAATTTGGGCTGATCATCATTTACAGCATGTGGGCAGTGGGATCGACCTTTGCGTTGGCTGAGAGAGCTCTCCATGCCATTCGTTGGGCTTGTTTGTGGAATGAGAAGCAGAGCGCCCATGCCCATTCATTTATATTCCTCTTCTCCTCGGTCTCTGCAGAGACATTTCCCCCCTGACATGTTTTACCTTGTTCACTCAGTCCGGCTGTGGCCTCCGGGCCGCAGTGTCTCACCGCCGAGATCGGTGTCCTGGAAAGGTGAGAAACCAAATGCTAAAAGATGGGAAGGAAGGAAGGAAGTCTCGCAACTTGAAGGTCATGCAGTCGAGGTTGCAAATCCCATCAGCACAGAACGGTCCGAAGACTGCTGCTGCCCTACTGCTGTGTGGTTGCGTGCACGTGTGCTGCTGACAGCAGGGCTGATGAAAACAGCGTGAAGTGAACCGGAATGTAAAACAAAACACGAGGCTTCTCACGCCACATGCTGCTCCACGCCGTCACCGATGAGGAGGAGGGCGATGGGACGTGAGGAGGTGAGAATTGGCTCTCACTTCATCCACGTCCACCGAATTAAGTATCCTCTCTCGTTTCTCTGGTTTTCTTCAGACCTGCATGTATATTTCACTCCGCCGCTGCTATTCCCGGGTGCTCAGAAGGATGTGGTGTATTACAGTTGGAGTGTGCCAATTACTTTGAAGGAGCGGGATCTGAGATTGGGAGTTTTTTTCGATTGCTTTTCAACGACCCTTAACACGTCAACGGCGAAGCCGTCAGTAATGCTAACAGAGCCAAGTGTCTACCTGAGGGGGAAGGTGGGGTTGTTTGTTGCTATATCAATGTTAACCATGTAAAAACAGAGGTCCTTCAATGACCAGAGAGGCTGCCGTCTGCTGGCTGACCTGCGTGTCCTTTACACAGTCGGTGTACCCGACCACGCGTAAGCCGCTAGATACCTCGGACGCCGGAGGCTACAATTAGAAACTGAAAGGAACTGCCTTCCGTCAGCGGCGGCAGCAGCAGAATCTCGAGTGAGAGGCGAGAGTCCAGATCTGGATGGCGAGACGGTGGTGCAGGATTCAAGGTCAAGGTCATCCAGGGCGCTGCGATCCAGTTGCAGTGCTGAGCCGATGGCTTTTGATCCCAGCAGAAACGTTGAGGGAACATTGCAGTTGGCGGTCCTTTCATTATTCGCCCTCGCCCAATACCATTCTCATCAATCAGATTGACCTAATTGCATCATCATGTATCTGGACGGATCACATGACGGGATCCGGGCGCCGCCACTAGTGTCAATCATGAGCCACCTGGTGAAACCAGGCGTCACAGTTATCCAACGTGAAAGATCATTTTTGCCCCTTAAAGCTCCTAAAGTCATTTATTGTTGCAAAACCTTTCTCACGGAAACAGAGGGGAGATTAAATGATGATGGGATGTAGATTATCCATCAGCCAGGGGGAGTGGGAGGAGTTATGTAAAATATATATATACATATATATGTAAAATATACAAATCCATCAGTAACAAAAGAGACATATTACTGTTGTTATTTCTGTTGTTGTCTGCTGTGTTTGTGTGTGAGAGCCGAGGTGAAGATGCATCTCATCCATTCACTGAAGCTGATGATGACACATCGCTGTGGGAGAAATGCTTCACCTGTTATATGCTCGCAGGCCTCTATGCACACCTGCGAATAGTGTTCCTTCAGAGTGTTTTGTGCCAATGGGCACATTCTCTCACCTCAACGATCAAAGCCTGAAACAGTGAGCATGCTGACACCTTTGCACCTCAATCCGTCTTGAAAAGGGTCGAGGTTTCACGCCCTAAGCCAGGCAAGCAGCCCTGTTTGATGACAGAAAGGGGCCACGTGTTCTTCAGTGTTACGATTGCTTTTTACTTTAGGGTTAAAAAAATAGTACAGTTTGACTCCATGCCAAATTGTCAATAGGGGATTATTGTTTATTTAATCCCTTTATTTTTGTTGCAAGATGAGTCCTGTATTTCTTCAGTGAGGGGGAACGCAGACGTAAATTGTTTTCTTTACCATTAAACCTAATAAGAGAAGTGATATCGAAAAGATAACGCAATTATCATGAAAATGTATTTCTTGAATTTTGATTCATCTTCTTAATGTTTGATGTTTTGTTTTTTTCAAACTAAAAATAAAGTTGTGTGCGCTTGTGAAGACGCATTTTGTGCGGAAAACACTTGAAAGTTAAATTCTTTGAAAGAACGACATTCAGCGTCAGCCATAAAAGCGATTTCTCGTTGTGCGAATAATATTGAAAGCAGTTCTTGAAAGCTACATGACTGCAGTTCTCCGCTGTGCTGCTCCTAATGAGAGGAGTGCTTCCAAATATGAAATGTGAGCCCCTGATGGAGGCTGAATTAGTAATAGAAAGCAGAGATGGCTCAGCCGTGTCGTTGGAAAGGCCGATGGAAAGCTTTCAGCCGCCGCCCTCTGAGTCCGCAGCACGCGGCAGTTTGTGGCGTGCTAACACATTTCCAGGAAAAAACTTTGCGGCTGTCATTGTTATTTATTCATTATCTTAAAATATGAATTTGTTTTCAGTTTTCATGTCACGTTTGATTTGAAATGTTTCTTCTGACTCATTTGCTGGCAGAAAGCTGCTCGGTCGCCGTCACTAACTGAAATGCATGAGGTGATGAAATATTGATTGACAGCGATGAAGGTACAACATGACATTATTGTTTACTTGCTCCGTTACATCGAGGTTGGTCTGCAGTCGCTCCCCGCAGACCTACAAAACCAACGCCGCGTGCTGGCTGCCTTTTTTGATTTTCTTTATTTTGCTGACGGTAAATCTTGCGGACACAACTTTCACACCCATTTTTCAGCACTTATTTGGTTTTAGATTGTGGACCTGCGCTATTCAGAATTAAAAATGTTCAGGCCGAGGATTCAACTTCTCTGACGCAAGTTCACATTGTCTCACGACAAAATGCGTTTCAACTTGTTCAACGTCATTGACACAAAGTGACACAAAGTAACCGTGTTTGTCTCTCTCTCTCCAGATGAAGTCAACAGAGGTGGACCAAGGGCTTTTCACAGACAGCTACTGCAAAGTGTGCAGCGCTCAGCTCATCTCCGAATCCCAGAGGGTGGCCCATTACGAGGTGAAGACCCCCCCCCCCTTGCATTACATCACATGACAATGAAACGCTGCATTCTGAAGGGCTTTAAGGTCAGCCTGTTTTGGCTCCTCCCCCAGAGCCCCGAGACTACACACCTGAGCCCTGCAGCTGACACCTGAGTTTCCCAAATTCTTTTTTTTTTCTCCATCAGACCTCATTTGAGAGCTTCAATGAAAATCAAGAAATAATGAGACACCGTATATGGTTCAAGTATTATGCATGCATGCGTTTCTCATCCTAGATGTTTAAGGTGCTTTAATTGGTTTTTTTTTAAACAGTAATAAATCATCGCCGTGACATTTACATTGTGTTGCACCGACGCTGCCGACCTCTATTCAATTGAAAATGACATATTTCCCCACTGCTTGCGGTTGCGGCGGCAGAGCGAGCTCCAGTCGACATAGACGGCCGACTGTGTGCGGAACGCGCAGCATGAGATCTCTGAAGGTGGAGGTGGTTTAAAGTCATCGTTGCATTATATACAATACTTAGAGGTTTGTGATTTGTTTTTTGGCGGATTCGCTCCAGCGGCTTCATTCGTGCTTCACAAGCCTGTGACCCGCTAATGAGCTGATTTCTACCGCTGTCCGACCTTATTCAGGGCTTATTCGTGGCAATTATAAGCTCACCCATCACTGCTAATCAATACCACTGTGCTGAAATACTAATGCGCGCTCGCTGTTGGCTGCTGCATTTTTCGGGGATTCTACAGTCAAGCTTTTTCTTTTTTAACAAATCAATTGTGTAACAGTTTCTATGTATTGACCCCGACTGACTGAGTAAGTGTGTACTAGTCAGGCCATGGTGAGGATTTCCAGGCCTTTTCAAACACGCCGGACATTTTTAAAAGGGTGATCGATGTCTGCCGCCCTCGGCTTCTTGCCTCTTGTAAACGGCGGATTTTTTGTTTGTTTTGGTCGGTTACCGGTCAGCTCCGGTCGAGCTTTTGCTGCAGGGGGGCACGTTTCCTTCAGTGGAGCGGTGCAGCCTCGCTGTGGTGCATCTGGTGGAATAGGTGACGTTTGTGATCGGCACCGGCGGCCTCCTTCGCGCCACAGCTGCGTCCCGGTGGAATTGCTCTTGCGGTGTGCCTTCACAAAGGCTGACTGTGTGTGTGTGTGTGTGTGTGTGTGTGTGTGTGTGTGTGTAGATTAGTGCTGCTGCCTCCAGATGCTGCCACCTTCGTCAGATAAGGTTTCTAGATTGCCTCATTATCGCCATCAGATCCCCTATTAGCGTTGGGTTTAGATGTGAAATATTGCCAAAGAGGTCCTTTTGCTTTCTCGCACTGACACCCTAACCCTCCCCCATTGTCCCGTCAGTCATCTGTCCTCCTCTCCCCACGTGATTAGTGAAATCCGACTCATGCTGCCGGAGCAGGTACCCTGAGTTTAAGCATAGCGTCCCTTACACGCGATAGGAGGTTCGATCCCCACGCCCTTGTGTCCTTTGGCAAGATGCTAAGCCGCTGCTTGGGAGAGCCCTCTGTGTGCAACTTTGTATGGCAGCCTTTGTGTACCAATGTGTGTGTGTGTGTGTGTTCATGGGTGAATGTTCCCTGGTTGTGTTAAGCGGAAGGTAAGAAAGATGCTATATAAACGCCAAAGTCCACTTACCGTGCAGCAAGGCCGAGGATGACTGAGGGCTGCACAGAACCGGTAAATGACCCTTGTAGGACGTGTGCGTGAGTCCACATACTCTGATCCGGTGCGCCGTGGACGGTGTGAGCACAGCTGCCAAGACGGGTTCCTTCGGCCGGTCTGGAGGAAGCCAGGGGGAGGACCTCTCTCCCTGCAGATGCCGCCTCTCAATCACTGTCACTTTGAGGCCAACCACGCCGTCGCTGCTGTTTGGCATCTGAAGTGACAGCGGTTGAAAGGACTCGTGCGAAGGCTGTGGTCCACTCTTTACGTGTTGGCTGCTTGGAAAAAAAATGATCTGAGACATTGTTTTGCATTTCTATTGATTTCCTACTGTTGTTCCTAACGGAGAGGTCCATCTCATCAAGGAGACTTTTTTTCTAGATTTTTTTTGTTAAGTTAGACTTTGCATTGATGCTGAACTTTTCTTTGGTAACTTTTAGGATGTCAACCTGTATTTCCTGTGGGGTGCCGTGCTCACTCTGGTGTTGGGGAGTGCTATTTAAAGTAGTAGCAAATGTCCAAAGGTAGCAGGAGAACTCCTTTGTTCTTCAGGGCGGTGACAGGAAGTCACTGCACCAATCCGAATCAAATATTAATTTTGTTTTCTGCGTGGGGAATGCTGCATACAGCACTTGGCCTGTTGCCTTGTGGAGATGGAGCATATTTGGAGTCTCTTTAGCGCGGTCAGGGTCTAATGCGTAGTGACGTGTTTGGGTCACAGGGAACATGGCAAAGAACAAAAAACAACAAACAGATGGAAATAAAGGATACACAAACGCTACTTTGCTCCTGAATGAGGATGCCGTTTTTGCACTTATGAGGAGACATAGTTTGACATGCATACATTTGTCTATGATGATTCCGTTTATGCTGCGCTTGGAGAGTTACTTTTCAAAGTTGTAACAAAACCAGACCATGCAGTTGATTATTGATAGGTATGAATTTTATTTGTTAAAGATTCAGCACTTGTGTTGGCTTTCATGTTTAGAAAGAACTTTTGTTCAGGGATAGTAAAAATCCTCCCGTAGCCGAACAGACAGAAAAGATTCAAAAAATAAATAAAAGGCCTCTAGATGCTTCTGACAAAGCGCTTGCTGGGTCGCTGGCCAGGATCTGCCAGCTGTGGTGAGGTGTGCACCGTTGCTGTCCACCATATTTTGCAGCGTAAACCTTCTGTCGGTCTCCTTCAGCCAGCTCAGCAGTGCTGCTGGTAACAATGACCATTTCCTCCCTCGAGGAAGCCGTCCTCGCATCATCATCTCCCGGGGGGGAAGTGGGGCTCGTGTCTGAGCAGCTGCTGGCTTCATCGCAGCTTCAGGTGAGCACCGTGGCGTGGAATCGGTTATATTCAACAAGATCAGCTAACAGCAGTGAAGGACAGTCAGGGCACTGGAATTATATATATTTTCCACAAACCTGTTATTTCCCATAAACTACTCTTAAGTTTCATGGTTGTCGCTGCTTCTTGCATTGGGTCAAGATTCGGACGCCTGACCTTTATATAAGAGCTTTTATCTAATCATATTTCAACCATCATGTGTCAGGGTCCAATAAATCTACCCTTAGCGCTTCAGAATCAACAGTGCCAGTAGCTTAAAGTGAACGGAAACAAAACTGGGGCGTTAACCAATCAGGTTTAGAGTTGGCCACACCGAGGCCAGCTAGCGGGTGTACAATGACGTCAGCACATGACCGCTGTTTAGTGGGTGAAGTACTAGTGAGAGGCAGAGCTAGCAAACTGATCCTGAACACACCGTGGCTAACCGAAGGAGCTAATGGGTTGATAGCTAATCGTCTGACATTTTCAAGACAGACGATTCAAGAAAAGCTGGATGTGGTGCACTGGACATGAGTTTGGCCGCTGGCGAGCCGGTAGTAGCCGGTAGTAGCCGGTAGTAGCCGGTAGTAGCCGGTAGTAGCCGGTAGTAGCCGGGGAATGGGTTTGTCCTACTTCGTTTGAAACACACTGGCTAACAGTATGAATCACTTTATCGGGATGGGGCTATAAACGGGAATTACAGAGTGAAATCATGAAATTTAAGATTACAATAGGGGATTCATCTGTAAAATCAAAATGTCCAAAGGGCATCCGTTGAACGTTTCGTACTGAACTGATCTCGTCGACGTCCCTTTGAATCTCGGTCCAAACTCCAAGGCTGAAGCGGCCCTCGGGTGACAGAAGAGAAAGGAGGAGGCGCCGCTCATCTTTAAACCTTCTTTTCAACCCATCAGAGCCAGCGCTGCTTTTACAGAGCGGATCAGAGGTCCGCTGTTTAAAGACCCGCGTGCTGACTTTAATTCATGCAGCCGTCTCATTTCCCGCATGTGCGGTAAGTCCCGACGGGCCGCCCTGCTCCGAGCGCTGCAGGAGAGCTCCTTTTAAATCCCTGCATGTTACTTCAGAGAGCAAACAGAATGGCGAGTGACCTCGGAGCGAGCTGCGCTGGGTGAACGTCGCTGGTCAATTCTTATGAGTAACTGAATATACGAAGCGTTTTTCTTTAATGTGAATTATTCATTATCTGTTTTTATGTGCATTTTTAATTTGTTGACCTACAACTGCAAAATAAGAAAGCAGAAATTGTTTATTAAAACGTTTTAAAACAATTTTTTACTGCTTACAGAATGAAGTGACCAATGTAGGTTTACGGCAGGTTTCTCAGTAGTATTATGTGAACAATTGAGGAATTATTCTTTGCAGTTCTTGAAGGAACAGTGTGTATCTTTATATGTATGGAATAGGTTTGCAAGATTTACCCCCAGTTTCTATTATTAGGAACGCAGAAGGAAAAAAAGCTAAAAAAACAGAGCTTATTCCAAGAGCAAATACATCATAACATATGTCCCTTTTTAAAGACCCTTTTAAACGTGTGACCAATTGGTTTATTCATTGTAACCTTCAGTGTCGAGTAAAAGAAAGCCCCATTACAACAGCTTAACGGACACATATGTGCACTAGTTAGCTAGCTTTGTCCTTCTCTTATAACCTTTCTTCCAATCACTTAGTTTTTGTTGGTTACAAGCAATTTATTACTCTCAAAAAGAGGGCCTCTACCGAAAGATCTCTCACATCCAATTAATCCTAGAATAAAGTACTGCAGCTTTCCAGCCACAAGGAAGACAAAGTTATGAGAACCCCACAAGGGAAATATCGAGTATTAGTGTCCAGGTCTTTGACGTTGAGTTATTTAGAAGAGGGGGAACCTAGAAATTGTGTCAAGGTAAATTCCCGCAGCAGGAGCACAGCGCCTGATTGTGGCCCCCGAAGTGTACTCGCATCTTTTTCCAGAAGAGCTCATTGCTCATTGACTCCAGGGAAGTGAAACGGAGCCCAGTGGT